GGCCCATCTGACCACCCCCACGTCTAGGCCCTTCTGAGCCTTCACAGTGGCTTATCTTGGCAGCCAGAGGCCACAGGGACTGTTCCTCACCTGGATAGCCCTGGGCTCTTTTGTTCCTAGGGTCTGAGTCTGGAAAAGAGGAAACACTCATGTGGATAGCTCAGAGTGGGTGGAATTGTCACAGACAGTGTGCTCTTGACATGCTTCCTTCCATGCAGGTATATATCTAATCCTCCCATAATTTCATGGAATACATACTGCTCTTAACTGATATTATTCTATTTCATTTTACAAATATTTAATAGTATTTCTTACATAGAAGTAATTTCTACATATGTATAGATTTATTTATTCTATAGTATTTATAGGATTATTTCCTATGTAAACATAAGGAACTGATACACGTACATGCATGCATACATTCATATATGGAAGGTATTTAAAAATCACATCTAAAGTTGCCAGTTTAGGATATAGCTCATTACTGAGTACAAGTCCCAGTACTGAAAAAAATATTGTCTATAATCATTTCTTGTTCAGTGATATTATTTTTTCATGTCTTTTTTTTGAGACTGAGTCTTGCTATGTACTTCAGGCTGAGCTTGAACTTACTTTGTAGCTCAGGCTGGCCTCTAACTGGCAGCAATCCTCCTGCATCAGCCTTCTGAGTGATGGGATTAGAGACATGAGCTGCCATACCTGGCTAGTGTTTTAATTATGGTACCAATATAAAGATTTTTAAAATAAAATAAATTTTTAAAAATGTTACTCAAATTTCTTTTCATTTATGTATTTGGTACAGGATCTCACTCTGCAGATGACTTGTAGTGATCCTTCTATTTTCAGGCTCCCCAGTGCTGGGATTACAGGTGTGTGCCACCATGCCCAGACTGGTTGGCCAGCTCAGTGTGCCCCAGGGATGGGGCCGACATAGCATGCAGGACCAGGGATCGAACCCTGGTCCCTGCGCTTGCCAAAGCAGACACTGGGTCCACTGCGCTATCTCGCCAGCTCTATGTTACTCAATATTTTAAACAAAGATCAAGTATGCACCTGCACAGGTGATATGTGGCTTTGATGGCACGGAGAAAGTCAGAGTGCAATCAAGGCTGCTGAGGAAAGTCAGGCTTGGTAGCACCTGGCCTCCTGCCATTGCTGAGTGCATGCGGCAGCGCAACCACCTGCACAGCATATGGCAGTGGCCTTGGGACCTCATCTGAAGGCCTTGGCTTCTAGGTTCTCAGATCTAAATCTCATCATTCTCCTAAGATGTTGGTTCATTTTTTGAAGCCACCAGATGTTTCTGGACCTTCCTGTCCTTAGCTGTTATAATGAAGGGATTGCTGCCTTCAGTGCAGTTGCTTGGATTCCAGATATAAACATATAAAATTTGCCAAAGTAAATGCACACTATAACAACCACTGTTGAATACCTGTCATCTTATATTTTTTTAAAAAAATTCTACCTGGGGAGATAGCTCAGTAGCATGAGTGCCTGCCTGGCAAGTGCAAAGTCCTGAGTTGGATGTCTGATACAAAATAAATAAATGAACACAGTTCTGTATTGTTTCTAATATCTTATCTATTATTTTTTTGTTCTCTTTAAAATAAAAACAATAAAAATGAAGGGGTTAGTTGTACATGATCACTAACATTGATTCCAACGATAATTGTATGATTCTTTGAGTTACTAGCAAGTAAGCCTATGCATTCCAAAGGCAGAAGATAGTGGGAACATGTTCCTTCTGCAAGCCATCAATATCATGTGTCAGTGCTACAGGCTGTCCCCAGAATGACACCCATCATGGGGGAAATATTAACTAATTCATTCTCTTGTGATGAGTCAGAGTCTAACCTCATGTGTGGAGGGTGGTTATTTCAAGAAGGCACATCTGCTTTAGTTAGGGTGATTGATTAAAATTGAAAATGAAATTGTAAATGAAAACTTGTACATATTTCCTGAGCACAGTGCTTTATGCTAGACTTTCTCTCTCATTAGTAGTTGCATCATGGTCATATCTAATCAGTTTATAAAGCCCATAAATTTTGTCCTTTAGTGTTGCAACTCAGAAGCAATAAGTTCTTTGACTTAAAACGTTTTCATCTGTCTACTTACTAATTTCTTCCTGTCTTTTAAAGTTTGTTCCCTCAAGAAAAGGCAGGGCAAGGGAAATGTTTGGCTGGCTCAAAGTTCTTCTAGTTATCCTTGGGAATGAATGTTGTTCTACAGCCTAAGTATCTCTTGAAAACAAAACCACGGCACTTATTTGATATATAACAACACGGCAATTTTCAGGTTCAAAAACATTGTCAAGGACCAGGCAATAAATGAAATATGGAGATGGCAAAGGAATGGAAAAAATAAACACATAGTCTTTGGATTTGAAAATTTTGAGTTTATTTTTACTAGTTTTTTTAAAAATTAATTTTATTGAGAAACACATAGCAATGAGACAGTTTCAAAGCTGATTAATAGGACAGTTTCAATATTTAATACATTTATTTTTACTAGCTTTAAAAGGTTTCCATGTGGACAGTTTTTCTCCATGAAGAGAAGAAAGATTTGTTCCTCCTTCCTCTACCTTTTCTTCCTCCTGCTCCTTCCTCTCCTCTTTCTCCTTCTTGTTCTTTTCTTCTGGGGATTAGGCCAAGCGCTCCTTCAGGCTAAGCACACGCTCTTCCACAGAGTTATACCCCAACCTCCTGTTCCATTGACTGGGGTTATTTTGTAGATGACAAGGAAGTTATTATGTAAGTGATTTAACCATTTTCTAAGTCTGCCTTCACACTTGAAACAAGGGCTTGTGAACACACCATTGAGCTGGACAATATGCAAGCCCACAATCCCTGCTACTCAGAAGCCTGAGGCAGGACCGCAGGGTTAAGGCTAGCCCAGGCAATTTGACAAAATCTTGTGTCAAAAATTGATAAAGACAACTAAGAAAACTCAAGGTGTTGTTCAGCACCCCTGGGTTCAGTCCTGAATACCAAAGTGGAGAGAGAGAGAGAGAGAGAGAGAGAGAGAGAGAGAGAGAGAGAGAGAGAGAAATAAAGAGAAATACTGCTCTGATCAAGTTTATGTAAAAATTAAAATCTGCAGCATTGAGCAGTTACTACAAAGGTCCAGAAGGAGAATTAGTTACCAAGCTTGAGCTAAGATCACCTGAAGCACTGAGATTAACATGCACTTGATTTTGGGAGGCCACCTTTTGTTGCCCTTCAGGATTTCTTTCCTCTCCTATTCTCAGTATAATATCACATTTCATTTCCTGATTTCTATGTTTATAGATTACAAACCCAGATTAGAAGGTACCAGGAGGGAAAAGACAAAGAAACAGAATAAGATAGAAATAATTTTAAAATTATAGCTATTTGGAGGCATTTAGAGCATGAAAACAGCCCTTCATACCTCAGTCGTCACTTAGAGCTTTGCTGTTACAGTAAGACATAATACAGGGTATTGCAAATGATGATCTTGATTTACCAAGGTTAAGTTACATTATATATACTTTACATATTTTTACAAAGCATACAATACATTTTGAAGATTTTTCAATATGCAAAATACCAAGTTTAAAGACAATATTCTTGGAGCTTTTAGTGTAAACCCTTCACCATCTAAGACATTCACTTAGCTGGGAACTGACTTAGTCTCAAGGGGCTCCACATAATCGTGGTCTTCCTGAAGCATCTTCTGCAAATAAGCTCAGGCTTTGTGTGTTCTGCGGAACAGAGGAAGGTCTTTCTGGTTCCCAAATTAAGACAATTTTTATCCTGATGCCTTTTAAGTGGGAATATTTGACAGAAATCATGTATGGACTTCAACTGTGGCAACTTTATCATATTCTTTTCCCCAGGACTTGGCTTTAGGGCAGTTTATGCAGGGTTGAGTGATTTTGGGGATGTACTTGTCTTTTTAAAGTGTCACTTGTGACTCTTTAGACAAAACACTCGAAGGGGTCCTATGCTGCACATTAAAAGCAAAGTCTTTCCTTGGCTCTCTCCTTGAGAGCACCAGTGGCTCACGGTAGCGGAAGTGCATTATGGACTACATGCAGGACCCACTACGTACAGTCCTAGTACCCCAAATGTTGAGCTAAAAGCCTTTGAAAGGAGTCAAAGTGGGCAACGTCTGACCTCATAGAGAAGGAACATGGGGAATCCAGCCTCTCAAAGGTCAGCCAGTCAAATACCAGGGCTGGATTTTTCAAAGAGCCAGATAATGCCCGTTTTATGGCCATTAATAACATTTCAGTTATATAAACAGAGATAAGAGTAATAAAAAATAAATTCTGCTTCACAGTGTAATCTGATTGTCCACAGAGTTCAGAAATGAACTTTCTCACTGCGCACGTGGCTGTGCCTAATGGGCCAGCGACTGCTCTGCAGCCCTCTCCCCACTTTCCACCTCTCTTTTATGGAGGGTTCTTTGTTATGCCAGATCCACAAGCTATTCAGGGGAGCAGACCCTTTGTTTTCCTCTTTAAAGTTCTTTGATTGAGCCTCTGGTAGTTAATGCACCAAATGGTCTTCGGGCGCATTTTGTGCATGTGCCCTGCAGGTAGTCATGGTGCCTGGGCCTACTGTTTTTCTGCCTCTGTGTTTCACACATGTCGCAGAGCTCAGCTCAAACACCAGGCTCATCAGCTTCGGGAGAGGCATAACAGAGCTCAGCTCTGATTTGGGTGTCTGCTTCAAATGTGCTTTTTCTAAAGGAATCCTGTAGGAGATAAAGCATTTCATTAGCCCAACTGCCCTTTTCAAACCAGGAAGCACAGTGCCTAGTATGTAGGAAAACTCAGATAATGTTATAGTTGCATTTAGAGTGTTTGTAAATATTGTCATCAGTGTCTTTTACACAGGTTCTAACAAGATAGTGGTTAGACATGGGCAGGTTAATTAAGTCTTTTAAAGCTTTGCTTATGGAGAGCTGATAAGCAAGTTTTGAAATAAGTCCTTTACATATTGTAGTGATTTTTTCCCCCTAAATGTCTCCTCCAGTTGATCACCCCTCATGCCATCCGTGTGCAGACGCCTCCTCGACACATCCCCGGTGTTGTGGAAGTCACATTGTCCTACAAGTCCAAGCAGTTCTGCAAAGGAACACCGGGCAGATTCATTTACACAGGTAAGAACCATTGTGGATGGTGAAGACAGCTTCCTGGGCCCTTTGGGCTCCTTACTTTATCTTGTATATGTGTGTACTTTTCAAAACACTAGTTTCTGTTAAGACATACTTTATTTTCCTCTTTGATCCACCGGGTTGGTTTTATTAGTATTATGGTCTGTTTGTGTATTAAGCCAGCTTTTGGCGTTTTATTTGCCTTATGGAATAGAAGTATGCTGTAGCGATCAGCGCACTTTAGTGGATGTCATTCTTGCCTGCACATAGCATGTGGACCAAACACCATGGCAGCTTTTGTATTTGATCCTGGGTTGGCGCTTTCTTCCCCAGCAAACTGCATTTTGTCCTCTGAAGACAGCCTTGGCACAGGGACCCGCCTTGTGGTAGGAAGCTAGGGTTACAGGGCCATGTGAATCCCCTCCCATCACATGTGGCGAACCAGGCAGGACCGGGAAAGGCAGGATGTGGAAACATGCGCAGTGCATAGCCCAAGAGCCCCTGGACTGTAGCCTGCAGCCCACACACTCAGGGTTCTTTCTCCAAGTCAGATTCTGCTATAGTATATCTCGGCAGAACGGAGACCCTCCACCCTTCAATACTCGAAGGCAAAGGCAAGGCTGGGCAAAGGATCACACGTGCAGTGCTGACGTTCTGTCGCCTTTGGCTAGCTGTCATCAGTAACTGGTCCCAGATCTCCTCCTCTCCCCAGTAAAAGATGATAAAGCCAGATAAGGACAGCGGGACGTTTGTTTCCCACAAAGCCATCCAGAACAGTGAAGGGCTAGCTCTGTTAATACATTCTAATTATAGCTAAACGGTTAAATGGGCAGACTTTATTTTGCTATGATGTTCTACCTCAAAGCATCTTTCCCTTGTATTTTAATATTAGAAACAAACCTGAACATTGTTCTTAGTCACTGTCTGTCTCTGTCTCTGTCTCTGTCTCTGTCTCTGTCTCTGTCTCTGTCTCTGTCTCTGTCTCTGTCTCTCTCTCAAAATTATAAAAACAATTAAGGCACCCTGACCCTTGGAAATGCCTCCCAGCCCTTTAAACAAAATGCAGGTTTGGTGCCCGCCTGACGATTAGTTTTAGTTAATTGAAAATTATAGGATTGACCCAAGAGGAAAATTTTGTTTGCACTCCAATCACTTTTACAAATTAAGGAAAATTACCACAATTTTGTTTAGCTAAGGTTTCACACTGAGTTCAAGAAATTAGCTCAGCCATCCCCACAAAGTCAGCACTTTGTTAGTGAGCACTTGAAAAAATAATAGTCTATCTGGAGTTTTGTGGTGTACACAAACGAAGCAGAGCGAAAGCTGTGATGCTGTATAGAAGTAGGCCAAGTGTTTTTAATTAGGCTCATTGGTTCAGTGTAAGTTTTGAAGAACAATCAAACTAGCAGATTAGCTGTTTCTTTCAAGGCTAGGATTTCTTGCCATTCATTTTTCCCATGAGAACTTCCACATAGCACTATTTTTTTTTTTTTTTTTACAAGCCTCATTATAGGCTTGCAGGAAAAGGACCAATTGAAATTTCTGATACTGTAACATTCCCCACCGCTGTTCCAGTGGATGGGAGTTTTTCACAATGTTCCTCACTGAACTTGGTGTTCTGGAACATATTACAAAACCACAGAGGCCAAATGTTTTCTCTGAGGAGTTTGGACTCTGTTTTTGGCTGAAAACATTTAGGCCTCACTGGCTGCTTATTTACTCTGCTATTAAGAACAAGAAAAGGAGAAGAAAAAGAAGAAAATGCTTGTGTGGTGGGAGGTACCAGAGGCAATCAGCCATGGTTTCCGCTTTGGTGACAATGTCCCTGCCCATTAATGGTTCCATTTTGTGGTCAGGTCTCATTTAGAAGAAATTATTTTTAATCAGTGTTCAACAAAATACCCCCTAGGGCCACCTGGCCATAAAAGTGAAAAAAAAAAAAAAAAACAACAACCAAACCCTTCATCCCTATTAAATTACTTAAGTTCACAAAAGAAAATAGCTAGGGACCCATCATTATTTTGAGTTTTTTTTTTTTAACCATTAAAAAAAACTGCCGTCAATTTAAGAAATCACATCTTAGAAAATCTGTTTCATACTGAAATTAAGATCAAAGATGAGAGTGGTGTGTATTTACAAATCTAGAAAGGTGGTTACAGAGCAGAATGATAAGTTGGACATATACACAAGTGCATACGTATAGGAAATTTAGAGTAGGGGAAAATGCTTCCGGCCATCCTGCCTCACATTGTGGGCAGCAAGCAAAAAGACTGCTTTTTAAGGACTGGGGAAATAGCTCAGTAGAATAAGTGCTTGCCTGGCAAGTTCAAGGTCCTGAGTTCAATTCCCAGTACTGCAAAAAAAAGACTGCTTTTAAGGAAGGAGAGAGAGGAAGAGGGAGAGAGAGGGAGAGAGAGAGCGTGTGTGAGTATGCAAGAGCGCTCATATCCTTTTCCTGTAATGGAAAAATAAATACTTGAAGACACTGATATGAAGAGCTCCTTGCTCTAGCTAGCTGTTCAGAGTCACTTTGTTATCGTAGTCCCAAGAAGAGGACATCTCCATTAATTGGTGAAACCACACCTGTACTATATAACATTTGCATTAATGTTTGCAAAGGGCCCCTTCTCATGGCTGGGGCCACTGTCTCCTGTAAGTAGCTCAGTTTTCCTCTCTTCTTAACACCACTAGTGAGTGAAGCACAGACAGGGGTCATAAAACCTCACTGTTCTTGAATCCAAACAAATCCTCAGATCATTGTCTACAAACTGACCCCTCCTTTGTTCACCCACAGAAATTTATACTTTTTTTTTTTTCCAGTACCAGAGATCGAACTCAGGACTTTGAGCTTGCCAGGCAGGTGCTTATGCCACTGAGCTATATTCCTGGCCCCCTATACATCGTTTTAAAAAATATCCATAGTACTTCAAGATGTGATGCTTATTTTTCTGGCTTGAGTGGACAAACTCTCTTGTTCTTAGTGTAATTCTACTTGGAATTTTTCCCTTAAAAATATCATGGAGCTGAAAACTAACCCCCAGAATTAAGGATAGGGCTATGGCAGCTTTTAGAATGTATAGGGCAGTTTGGTATGTGGATGCGGAAAGCTCTAAAAGTTTATATAGTAATTGATGTGTAATTACTAAAGCACTGAGAGAAGAGGAAAGAGGGAGGAGGAGGAGAAGAGAGAGAGGGAGTGCAAGCAAGAGAGAGAGGCAGAGAGACAGAAGCAGAGACAGAGAGACAGAGAGAGACAGAGACAGACAGACAGACAGAGACAGAGACAGAGACAGAGACAGAGACAGAGACAGAGACAAGCACCTTGAGCCATCAGGCCCTGGTCTCATTTCCTCTATGCAAATACAGACAGATTTTAGGGGGAGAGAGGAAAGACTGACTGAGCAGACTCCCCACAGGTTGGTCCCACTTGTGTGAGGATATTGAGTGCAGCTCACTTAAGGAATTCTCAGCTGTCAGATGTGCCTTATTCTTGTGTTTGCCCAATTAGAATCAGAGAAAGAAGTCCCTACTACATTAGTATCATAATAGCTCAGTAGAACTTTCCAGGTCTTCTTTTATTGTGTTCAATTATCCTTATGTAGATTCAGAGCAAGGCTGACCTTAAATTTGAAATAAGGGTTCTATGATGGGAACGAAAGAAAACCTTTCTGATCACAAGATTGTCTTGAAAGCCCTGTGATCAGGTGTTTCTCCTGCATCCACGGAACTCTCCACTGACATGGTGTAGGGGGGCTCCCTCATGCCTTTATTATTTTCACAGCTTGCTTCCTGGCAGTCATTAAATCTTTAAGTGAATTGTATCTTTTAAAACTGTGATCTCTTCTGCTAAGCCCTGAGCATCCTTGGATCTGATAAAAGATTTTTAGGTGACTTTAGTTACTTCTTTACCAATCTTAGACTTGGCTTTCCTGATAAGAAGTAGTCAAATACCAAATCCAAGTGCTGATTTTGCCCTAGTTATGGCGACTCTCAGGGAGGCCTCTGTCTGGGCCAAATGGGTTCCAGGATACCTGAGCATTTCACGCGTGCCTGGAGAGCTGTATTCTACTTGCTCTCCCAACAGTTGGTGAGAGTCAACCACCACAAATAACAAAGAGTAAAGTATGAGTGTAGTAGCCTGATCAAGATTCTTACCGCTGTGAACAGAACACCCTCCCTATATACTACTCTCTTTTCTGTTGAAAGGCCAAGAACCTGAGACTGAGTCCTTATAAAGAAGAGAAGTGTATTTAGCTAACACTTGTGTAGCCTTGAAGTCCAAGATCAGATGTTCTCATTGTGCGGCCTCTGCTGAGGGTTCCCTGGGCTGCCTCACACTAGGGCAGATAGCAAGAACACAGGAAGATGTGCAAGAGGGACCACGTGGTAAGAAAGCCAGAGGGACTCGGGGGCCATGCAACAGCCCCCTCTCACAGGAGCTAACCAGGATCCTGTCAGAGGTCCACTAATTCCTTCCAAAGGCTGTGCCTTCAGTGGCCCAATTCCTTTCTGCTAGGCCTCCCTGCTTAACATTACATTGGGCACCAAGCTTGCAGTCCTGGAATCCTTGGAGGACAAATGACTTTTGAACTTAGCAGGTCATAAGGAATATTTGCTCATGAATGGCCTCAAATAATACATAGTCTCATAAAGCAGTCTTAAACTGTGGAGCTCTTTAGAACTTTGCAAAGCCCCCCTCTCCAGTCCATCTAAAGCTCCTGCCTCTTTTCTGCAGGCCATAGCACCCAACTCCCTATGAGATGCTCAGATTACAATCAGCTCCTAGTCCAGGTTCAAGAGGCTTAAGGACAGAAGGTGCTGCTTTTAGTTCTTAGAAACCTCCTGCACAACATGAAACCTAGGTTCAAATCTGGGTATGCACAAAGTCATCAGTTTTAAGGGACAAATTAGAGCGGAGTGAATCTCCCATGCTTTACCTGTTTTTCTTATGCTAGTTCAGTGCTATGTTAAGCTACTGAAAATCCTCTTCTTATCATTGCCCTGCA